AAGATATTATTTAATTTCAAATGCTTTTATTTGCTTTTAGTTGTTTTTAGGAATATGGACAATATTTTCTGAAAGCAAAAATTTTTTTCAATGAAAAATGAATTTTTAATACAATTATTTGTTATTTCTAATTATAATAGATTTTTACATTTAAGTTGTTAAAATATTATAAAATTAGTTAAAAGCCACATCCGCTTTTGTAAGTGTCCTTATGAGAAAGATCTTTTTTTTATCATATTGTAAATTGTACCGTTTTGACTAATCAGAAGATCCGCAGTAATTAAGAAATGTAATTTTGTGTTTATAATCGGGCTGTAATTATAAAGTACGGAAGACCAACCAGAATACAATTAAGTTGCGTTATTTGAGTTAAGCATTGTTCTCCACTGTTAAGACATTTACTTTTGCGAAACATGTGGAGAAGTTAATTTGATTTTCAATTTTTAACTGAGAAGAGTACTTACAAGTATCAGTATCATCTTATGAAATTTATATGATCTTATTTTTACATTAATCTCAGTTATTACATTTTTCCATAAATGAAATATCAAAATTAATGAATGGAAATACAAAAAACACAGTAAAATGTACATAAAATTATAGTATTTTATGTACACTTCTGATAAAATTTTATAAGAAAAGTAATTAGATACCTTTCTTATGAAATTTAATCTCACTCTTAACAGTCTTATTTTAATTTCTTTATAATATATTTTCCATAAAGCATCGTAAACGTAAAGGTGAAAGCTAAAAAAAAAAAAAAAATTTAGAGTGCTGAAAGTTTTCCTTAAAAATAATGAGGTATAATTTGTTCACTTAAATCTAAATAACTTCACTTTTCACCTTCCGTAGAAGGAATTATCCTCACGTAAGCTATCTAAACATCATGAAAATGTCTTTTGCCACCTGTCAAGTGACGCGAAAGGTTATGACCTGCTTTGTTTTATTTTCAAATTACATCTTTTCAGCGCAGAAGCTAAGTTAAGCTTGGTTCAAAATATTTTAAATAAACATAATAATTTCTGATTTTGTAAGTTTCAATAAGTTTTGAAAAAAAATGATAATTGATTTTTAAAAGAATTTCAAAGTGAGATTTTCATTTTTTTTATAAAATGGAAAAAAGAGTTGCCATGATTGATTATCTGCCAATTTTGATGACTAAAAAAGAATAAGATTTTTAACAAAAATTTTGGACATTCTGGGAACGATTAAAAAATGTAAAAAAATACTCCAAAATACTTTGATCTTTCCTCTTAATAATAACATGAACATTTAGTCGATAACATTTTTTTTGTCAAGTTTGGCGCCTTTTTCATCATGCTATGCTCTTTTTTAGCGATCTCATGGAGGTACCTATCTTAACTACTTGCAGCTCTATAATGGTGTGTTAAAGAAGAGTAAGTCTTCTATCTTTACTTTGAGATATTATCATCTGATAAAGCAGAATGTCTTGCTCTTAAATTTACTTCCAATTCTACTCTTGACTCATATGGAGTATCTTTACCTGACTTTCCATTTAGAACTGAGTCTCTACTGTGTGACATGCATATAACTTTGTCCATAGTTTCTCTTATCTCTAAACTGGATTCCCCACAATAGTCCTTAAGAAATGTGCTCTCTAAAGTCTACAATAAATGCCATGCTACTTCTTGCTTGTTGGAAATCCTTTTCTATAGTTACAATTTTTAAGAGTTCAGGTGAATTGTCTGATTCTTCTAACTACCAGCCTTCTACATCTTTTTGGTGTTAGAGGCTCTAATAACTTGAAATTGATTAAGCATTTCACCTTACAGAGTCTTTCTTTTCTGGAACAGCTACTCTTCTAGATTGGTTTGTAGGTGTTCCCCATAGCTCTATCCTGGGAACTATGTTGTTTCTAATTTTCATAAACAACTTTTCTATGTCATAAGTTCCCAATATGGTATCTATGCTTGTCAGCAGATCTAAAAATTTACATATTCTCCTGGAGGTTAGCATCAGCTGATTTTAACTCATTGCATCCTCTTAGACTAATATTTTCTGTTGACATGAAGTGGAAAAACTATATTGACTCAATTTATAGGTTTGCTGCTAGAAAAATTGGTTTACTGCATTGCACTAGACAATTTTTTTTTGCCAGAATCTATCTTATATATTTTCATGGTAATTTTTCTGATGAGCTTTCTTCTTTGGTACCTTGACTTTATGAATTTAAATGCAGTAATAGATTAGCAGCTAGTTTTAGTTTTTCACAGTTGAAATGGTTAGATGCCAATCTCATGTCAGTCGTTATCTTCTTAATTCCTGTTCTTGGCTTTCTGATTTTGAGGATGGAAACATCTTTAGAAAGGCAATGTACTCGCAAAGCAACAAGGAGATTAAATCAGATTTATTAAACTATGTTTTTGCAATGGATATTGGCAGAACAAAATTGAAGCTAAATGTGCAATTTTAAAAATATCAAAGAATAAAAACAAAATTAAAAAGAAGACAATTTTTTTTAATAAACAATAAATAACTATACAAAAAAAAATTAAATCACAGCCCCAAATTAAAACCTCAATGGCCATGAGCGTTTTTGGAATCCTTTTGACATAGCACCAATATGCCCCAGCTAGTAAAAGATTTTTTTTTTTTTAACACAAAGTTAAATTATGACAGTACTGAACAAGGGGAAAGTATTTCAAATATATCATTAACAATAGAACTGGATCTTATTTTTTCTTGTTATATTGATCATTAAGTAAAGAAACTGGTTGCTAACAACCTCAACAAAATCTAGCCTAGCAACAGACTTTGTATCTTCTGCATAAACAAGGAACTTTGAAAAGTAGTTTCAAAAAATTATTCGGTTCAATATTCCTGATTTAAGAATTAATATTTATTAGTCTTCTACAAATATCATTTGTGGAAGATATTAATTATAATCAAATCTCAAAATAAAGATATTGATACGACAAAACCATCAGCAAATATATCTTAATGTAAACAAACAAAACCACATGATCTATTAGTAAGACATGACCAGATTTCTCTGTCTAAGAAATCAAACCAATTCAATGGATAGGCTTTTATGTAAACAACTTAATTTTAAGAATTCTTAGACATAATCAGGGCTGTTATACTGACATCAAGTTAATGTTTGGATTTGATCACTTAAAAACCCCTTAATTTCTCAAAATTAATTCATTTTTTTCTCTGCATTTTATTTCAATAATAATTAAATGCAACTAAGCTTTCACTCAGATTCTCCCATGGATTGATATCATAAAAGTTGGTTTTCAACATTTAACTGTTTGCAAATTATTGTCAAGCCTCCTGTTCAGAACATAATTCCAATTTACACTGTTGTCCTCATCTTTATTGTCATATTCACAATGTTTTGGCAAGTCATTTTAAAAAAACACTTTTGCAGTCAGCAATGCTATATTGAAACTAACATTTACATAGAAGACTTCTTCATGTATTTTGCAATACACAGAAATTATATCTATAGATGCCTAACATTTGTGGTGAAAGATTCAGCTGAAATATTGAACAATGTAAAAACTATTTTGCTTTTACATTAAAATAATTGAAATGTTCTAAATGTTACCTTCTTGATTTGAATTTGATTTGAAAATTGGATAAAGCAAAAATGATTTTACTGCCATTGACATTACATCTTACACCTGAAGTAAAACTAGAATCCTGTAGTTGGAATATATAAAATTTATATATCATCTTTGAGAAGAGAAACAAATCATTTGTTAAAAAGAACATAAAAATAACAATATCATTGATGTAAAACTAAAATTAGAACTGTTTCCAATTAATCATTTCTCATTCATATCATTAGAAGCAAGATATAAGATAAGAGTTATGACCACATTTATAAAAACATAAATAAACATTGTGAAAGATATAACAAAAATACATAATTTTCAATGAAAGCTTAGCATTTCAATTAAGTTGTTCTTTTAATGGACCATTACTGCAGATTATTTATGAGTTTTTTTGATAGTATATTTATATTATAAAGATAAAGGTTACAGTCAGTAATTAGTACATAAGAAGAAATGTTCCAGCATGAAAATTTCATTGTCAACATTTAATTTCTGAAGTCTTCATCAGTTGCTGATTTTATCTTCATAGAACTCTCAATTAAAACACTATTTCCTTTTCACAGTTCTTATTCTTTGTTCTCATCACAGTGCCCTTTTTAGGAACTGAATATTCCTTGTCATTTGATATGAAACAATCTACTTCCTGAGATGAAAATCATGAGGGTGTCTATTTCCTCACTATCTGGAGTCCCTGGTGTTAAGGAATATAATTCCTCATTTGTTTGTTGGTATATTACATCAAAGTAACACATCATTTTGTGAAGATATCTTTTCAGCTTGGAGTGTGTTCTTTAAGTATCTAAATCACTACAATTTACAGAATTTCACAAACCAAATGAAACAGATTTGGAGTAAGATTTAGAATCATTCAATGTGAACAAATTATCTCCCATCATATCAAATCAAAATTTAAAGGAAGAAAATTTTGGATCTGAAGTCAAAAATTAAAAATTCTTGAATATAAAGAAGTAATTGATTAAAATATTTTCCATTTTCATGATACTAGCCTATAATAAAAAAAAACTGACATTGTTCCCAATTAGTTTAAGTACATCAAGATAGTAGAAAAAAAAAATTTCTATTTTCCCATAGCATAAAACTGTCAATCTTTAATCTTTCAATGAGCTTAACTTCAGAATAAAAATTATTTTCTGAAGCTCAACAATACATTAGCAAATGAAACATTTTGCTTAAAAAATTAGAATTGGATATTTTTTTGCTTTAGAAAAGTTTTAACCAGTTTATCTAAAACCAAGGTAGTTATTTATAGTGTCATTTAGCTGAACCATCCACTGTTTGAAAGAACGTCTTTCCCGGGTTCCAGAAGAAGTTACAAAAGAGCTTTGTCCTGGTATAGTTGATAGGGGAGGAACACTAGCAGATGGAGAAGTGATTTTACAACAATTCCCTTCTAACCAAAAGTAAGAATAGATGAATTCCCGGCACATTGGGCAGCGCTCAAGTTTAGCAAAGCAGATGTTGCAGACACATGCATGACGACATGGTAATAAGACTGTTGTTATTTGTTCACATTGACAAACAATGCATTCATTTCTTTCAGTTCTAGACAAATATTCACTGTCTCTGGCATTTTGAGAAGTTATTTGTATTGATTGCTTTTCTAAATGTTTCTGGTTTGTTGAAAATTCATGTGTTGGGTCATTTGATGATTCTGTGGTGTTTAATGAAAGGGATGTCACTGAATTATCAATGTCCTCAGCAGCAGGAGTGGAAGCAACAAACAAAGGCTGCAATGGAAGATTTATATTCAGTCATAAAAAAAACAAAAAAGCAGAGTTTAACTAATGGCAAAACTTTATTACTATTATTATTAGATTTAGTCAATATTTGCTCCATTAAGAAATAAAGCAGAAGCCTCTAATGAGACAAGAATTCTCATCGTACTTCAGGAATGTGACTTTACCATTTAGAAAGCTTAATGTTTATGCTTTTGTTTAAAGTATATCCACTTTTCTGATTCTTTTTGTTTCACCACTAATAGAAATGTTAAGATGGAGAAAAATTAGAAAAAGAAATAATCTAAAAAGTTCAAAATAAAAACTTAAAATTCATACCAACACAAAATTTTGACAAAGATAAAATAAATATAATACATGGGAAACTGCCAATTCTTTGATTGATACATTTTTACCAATTTTAAATCCAAAAACAAGAGCATTATATTTTTAATTACATTATTAATTTTCAGTAAAAATCTCATTTTATTTTGTGGATAAATATGGAAAGTTTTAACTTAAGATTTTCACATCCTGTGAGAGTTCAAGCTGAAAAATAAAGTTAAGCCTTTAGAATGATAACATTTTAGTTTAAAATGTTTGCAAATGATGATTTCAAGAGAAATTTGAAGATTTTAGTCATTTAAAAGGTCAGTGAACTTCAGTAATATTAATTAGAACCATTTCAAATTATTGAGAAGAGAGTGGCAAGAAAAATGTACCCAAGTTAAATGGGGAACAAGAAGGCATTATTAATCCTGAATGAAATTGATGCACTGTTATGATCAGTAATAACTGGAGATTTAAACAATAGCTGAATGCAAATAAACCAAAAGTTAGAAATAGCAAAACAGTTTATGGAGTAGAAAGTGTGTTCTCATTTGTTGCATAATATCCACTGTCATGCTGGAAAAATAATATTATTCAATTTAAATTAGAAAAGATTACCAGATTGTTTTGTCACTGAAAATCTGAGATATTATTACTTCCTTACAAGTGAGAATTTCCCCAATCATGATTAAAATGCAATTAATTTATCAGTTTCTTCAAATGAAGAATTCTTTAGAAAAACATTGATGACTTAACATATTTGAATAATAGTTACTTTGTTAACAGATCATTTACTATGATTTGTTATGGGCTATTTGGTGAATAATGGCTAATGATATTTTTGCTTAGCTCTCTCTTTGCAATAGTTTGTGCAACTGCAATGGTCCCCACCAAAGTAAAAAAGAAAAAGTGGCAAATATATTCAATTAAAATTAGCAACTGGCATAAACATAAAACATCTATATTAATTTTTAACTAGTCTGTTGAAATTGGCTTCTGGAAAAACTGAGAGACAAAAGAGATGGAAAAACTGATGGGCTTTGAATGATCATAACTTCATTGCAATTGAGCCACCAAGATAAATTTGTTATAATTTTTTGTTTTGTCAAAATCTTTATGCTTATATTAAAGCTATTTTGGTATAGTGAAAATAGCAATTTAATTTGGGATACTTAATAATACTTGTATTTTGGCTAGTCACTCAACAAAATAATTATAATCTGAAGTAATCAACTAGATCATTAATTCACTCATCCCTCTGGAGATCACCAGGTATTCATCTTTTTGTTGATGGTCTCATCTTCCCTCTATTGCAAAATCACATCCCTCATCATTATGATCATCATAATTGAATATTTGATTCACTGCTTTGATTACAGTATAAAAGGTCCCCCCATCCACAAAATCAATTGGGCCTTAACTGATGTCAGAAGTGTTGTTTTTTTTTGTTTTTTTAAATAGCAGTCTTTGAAGCCTAGGATTCATAGTGGCAACACACTTGAGCAAAGAAGAAGAAAATAATAAAGAAATAAATGAAAAGGAAAATCAAGGGGCACTTTGTCAGAAACCAAACGTTTCTGCTTGCAGCCCTGTATAAAGTAGAGTCCCAGTTAAGGCTAGTCAGAGAGAGGAGTTAGTTGTCGAGGGAACCTAACTGAAATAAACACCAAATTGTCAAGAACCAGATTTGTGTCTTCATTCCTTGATGTTGATTTTATCTTCTATTTGTTGTGAACACAGTGAGTCTTTTCCAGTCTTTGTACACACTGGTGTCAATTAGAGGTAAAACATGTAGGGATTGATCTGTCTGGTTGGTAAAATTTATTTACAACAAATCAGGAAACAATGAAATATGATATCTCAAACATCAAGTGTTAGTGGCTTTAGGATTTGAAATGTTTAAATGACATAAGACATTAGATAAAAATTTGAGATTTCAAGACAATATAAATTGTTATTAAGAAATAAATGAAGGAAACTACCATATTTCTTGTTTTTTGGCTTTTTTAATTAATGTTAAAATAAAATGCTATTACAAAAAAAATATTAAGTATTTTTCCTTCCAAAGGAAAGCAAATAGAAACAGCTCACCTGTAAGTTTAGTATCTGATTATTGCAAGTTTTCAAATGCTGATTAATAATAGATGAATTCATGCTACATGTTGTATCTTTCAAATGGATCACACTCATCAAAGCAACCTGTAAATGGAAGGAATAAAGTTTATCTAATTTAGATTGACATATAACTTTTGACAAAAGCTATTATTTTTGGTAGGAAGAATTCTGTCTATAGATAATATTAGGAAATCAGTTTTTGTCACTTCCCCCTCACATCCTTTACTACTTCTAAAATGCTGGTTATTGGAACAATTACTTACACTACAAGAAAATGTGCACTAAAATGTACCTAAGATTTTATATAAATTTAAGTGAAAAACTTAAATTTATTAAATGTATTATCAATGAAATTCGTAAAAAACAAAAAATATGATCATTTTCAAGAGAATATAACTCTTTAATATTAACACTTTCTAGACTGAATTTATTTCTAAACTTTAATAGTTTTAACTTAAATTCATTTTGTGAACTATCCACACAAGTAAACATAGCAGTTAATAAGTTAATATAGCATATATTTTGGAAAGATTGTGTACAAACTATAGGGTAGATGCATTTTTAATATAGGGTTCTAATCAAAATGATCTATTTCATCTTTAGAATCAGTCTACATAGTCATTGTGATAATCAACTGACACAGAATATGCATTGCCATCAACATTACATGCTGTTAGTTTGCTGCTATTGTAGTTAAAGTCTGAGTCATCATAAGAACTAAATTCATTTGTTTCTCACCCACTTCAAACTCATCTCCAGAGACAATATTCAAAGATCTGTAATAAAAATACTAAACAATCAATCTGATAAACAAGCATTTTTACACTCAAGCAGAAACAGATGTATGTGAAATATTTTATCTTGTTTTACTCACCACTTCAACACCTCCCTCTGATGAATATGTCTTGTTAAGAGAAAGATTCAGAAGAACAACTGGATATCTAGTCCTAGAACTAGAAGCCATCACAACATCTTTCATCACCTGAGGTGTGGGTAAAAACAATTTTTTCTCATTGCATGAGTTTAATCTAAAGAAAGCATTAAGGAAGAAGGAAAGAGAGATCAGCAAATGCAACAAAACAAAATTTGTATTAAAGAGTTGGTATGAGCTAAATTCAAGGGAAAGCAAAACTATTCGTCCACTACATATAAAAATAGAAATTGTCTGTTGCAAATTTGACAAAACTGTATAACCAAGCCCAACATATTGGCAAAATTTATTACTTCATTGGATTTTAAATGCTTCCAACATATTTACTTTCTGCAATGAAACCAAAAGCAGAATTTATTTCTACTCTGTCTGGAAATTTCAGCATTTCTTGTATAGCATGAAGAGTAGGTTGATGCATAAAATTAGGTACCTCCACTTTTCTTGCTAAAAGAGAGCATAGCATGATGAAAGGCTCCAAACTTGATGAAAAAGTTTTATTGTCAAAATGTTTATTAAGAAGAAAGACCAAAGTATTTCTTTTATTAAATTTTTTTTTTAATTCTTTCTAGCATGTTCAAAATTTTGGTTAAAAATCTTGTTTTTCTTGTGTCAATGGTGGGCCAAACATTAGCATATTTTTTGCAGTAAAAAACACATTGTTTTGGAAATTCTTGTAAAAATCAGATTTTAATAAAATTTTCAGGACAAATGAATGAAATTATTTTTTTTTAGAAAATCTTGGTAAAAATCTTTTTTTTTCTGTTCTCCACACTTACTTAATTTTATGAAATTTTGAGAAATTAAATTTTGGTCCATTTAATGTTTATATTAGTTAAAAAGCAGAGAATGTAAATCATTAATTTTTTTTTTTTAAACAGTTACTCATTTACCAAGAATCTACTACAAATCACAAAATAAAAAATGCAATAAAACTGTGAGATATATTAAGGACACAACTGCCCTAAGAAAAACATTTTTTCAATGAATAATGAATTTTAACAAGAATTGTTTTCATTTGTTTTAAATTTTAATTAGAAAAATTTATTAAATTTTAAATCTTTTAAAATTCTGTATTAATTCCAGCCTTTTAGATTATATTATTACGTAAAAACTATATTTATTAATTATAAATGGAAAAGTTTAAAAATAAGAGTGATGACTATAAATTTAATGTCAACATTTTTAAAATTTAATAAAACATTAAAATATGGAGAATATTTTCCTAAATTTTTAAGGTTATGAGTACTTAAAAATTATTAGGAAAGATTTTCTGCACTCTATAGCTTCTGATTTTTGTATTCCTCCTATCACAGTGAATCCTGAAAAGAGTATAAGAGCAAAGAAAATAATATATAAGGTTCTTTTTAGTATATTCCAAAACATACTCACTGTTTATTTTATTCATTTACCATTGACTTTTAGACAGTTTTAGTTTGTCCATTCAATAGAGATTTATTTTGTAGTGTAAAAGGTACACCTACTTTTGCATATTGTTTACAGCATTATATAAACAATAAATTGTGTTAATTATGGTTAATTAACAAAAAAAAAAAACGGACAGTAGATACTGTAGCCTAATTTCACCTGAACATCAGTGCATAATGTAACATAGCAAAAGAATAAAGAAAACAAAAATTAAGACAACCTGTAATGATAGGAGTAGAAATTAGAAAGTCTTCAGTTGTTAAGCCAAAAGATACTGCAAAGGTTGTTCTTTATGGATATAAGACCCAACTAAGAATTTCTCAGAGTTAATATAATACTGCAAGTATTTCCAGGGAAGCTGAAATTCTTTATACAAAGCATCAATGTCTACTCCCCAGTAGCAGCAAAGAGAACTTGAAGCCAAACTGGATACCAAGCAATGTAGACCACCTGAAAAATAAAGATATTAATAGTAATAAATAATGAAGAATTTCCATTAAGTACATTAAATTTACAGAATTAAAACCAAAAAAGAAATTACTGATGAAATTTTGATATTATTCTTTAATATATTTAGACTACAATTATTATTGTCATATTAAGACTGAAAATTACAGAGGTTAAAAAATAAAAATGAAAAAAATAAAGTTTGGGACAACTTAAGTAGTTTTTTTTTTTTTTTTTTTTAATTACATCTTTCCTTGCATACACAAAAAATGGAATGTTGACTTCTTGTGATTCCCAGAGTATTTTTAACTTTTCACAAAAGAGAACAAATGGGATTGTCTTAAAAATTTGTTTTAAAAACAGTATTTCAGCTGTCGGGGAAATTTTTTCGTGTGTTGAAATATTTAAACATTTTTATTTTTTAAGCAATCATTTTCTCTGTGTTATCTTTCTAGAAATGTAAAAAAAAATAATAGGGACTAGAAATTTTATTTTAATTACTAGCCGTGGGCTTTTGGTTAGTATTTATTTAGTAAAAAAAAATAAAGAAAGAATAATATTAGAGATTCTTCTTAGTGGATGATCTTGGAATAAAAAATGATTTTATCAAGATTATCCTCTTAATTGATTTAAAAGAACTGTTTAGAAAGAAAATTACAATTAAAAAAAAAAAAAAAAATAAGCGCTACTGAAATTAGCACTTCATGGGGCCCCTACACAGTTGAGAGATTTGGGGTAGTAAGCACCAGCCCTGTCAATTACTATAGTTGATAATTGGCAATATAACTTAGGTAGTAAAAAGTACAAAAAGCAAAAAAAGGCTGCTGGAACTAGCCCTCTTGGGGCTCCAACCATGTTGGGGATTCCTGCATAGTACACCCTGCATTGGTCATGCAGATACACGATGCATATTATTAGTTGATGCCTGACAATGTAAGGTCAGTTTAAAAATAATTTTAAAAATTGGTGGATGGCCATAAAACAGTGCTGAAAAAAAATGGCAGAGGCCACAACAAAAATAGTCTTTGTTTATATTTATTACTATCACTGTTAACACGAGAATAAGTTAATCTAGAACTTGGTATTATGAAATCTTTTGTCTAATAGTCAGCAGTTAAACTAGCTCACCCACCCCACTTTATTGTGAGTGAAAACAGTAGTTAGCAACCCTGTAATATACAATTGAATAGTGAACTTTAATAATTAACATTTTAGTCTGACTAATGTCTGAAATAATTTTATATTTCCTACTGACATCTATGATATTTGAGTTCAGAATACTTCTATATTTCATTTTGCCCCACAAAGCCCTTGTAACAAACTAAGATAAGCTTAATATCTAATACAAATGATATCTAGGAAACCTGTGAGATTCACCGAACATAGATTCCAACCAGTTTGAAAAAACCTGAGTTGCACTATCATTTTAGCTAGTATTTCTCAAAAAAGAAGGCCAGATATTTTTTTTATTCCTCTAAGTTGGGTCAAACAATTTTACAAGATTCTTTGTTTTTATAATTTTCTTCCTGCTGAAAAAATGAAACAAATTTGTATTTCTAATTATTCTTACTTAGACAACATAAGTCACCAGACATTCCAATTAAAAATGAAATATGACATATTTTCATTACAAATTGAGTCATGTACCCTGAAAAATGTTCATTAATCAATGAAATTCATCAACTAAGATGGAAGATGTAAAAAAAAAAAAAAAAAAAAAAAAAAAGAAATAAAAATGTAATAATGACCTTTGATTCAGTTGATGAATCAGTAAAATTAATTCTGTTATTTATTTTCAATATTTACTTAACAGAAATTAGAAGAAACTAATTTTTATCATAAAAAAAAAGTATAATGTTTTACTATAAGACAGATGGTATGAATTTTAAGATTTGTTTCATTTTAAACAGCTGATATGTTTATTTTTTCACCCACTGTACACAATCAGATTCTGTTTAAAATGTTTTTTAAAAATAGATATGCTATGAATCAGCTCAGTCAGAAAGTTTTAGCATGCATTGACAGATTAAATGAAAAGAACTAAGTTCTATATCAGACAACTTTAAGATACAATTTCAAAATATAAAAACTATTTTATGGATATCAGTGCATCTCTCTCTAAATGATAAAAATCAATAATCATTTGAATTTCTGTGAATTTAAAAAAAAAAAAAATAAAACTCTGAATTCCTGATTTTAACATAAAATTATTTTACTTTCAAAGGGCCATTATGAAAAGGTTAATACAGTTTCACAAATGTTTCACTTGAAGAAAGGGTAATTTTTGTTTTTGTTATTAACATGCAGTAGATAATCCATAGTGAAACAGATATCCAATTCCTGAAAGAGAAAATACCTTATTCAAATTGTTTAATAAAGAAAATGTATAGACAAAGTGATTGAATAACATACTTAATAATGAACTGGTGCAAGAAGGATCCATCTGAACTGAAAATGGGTTTTGGATTCCAATCATCCGCTGCTCTGAAATAACATGCTTCACAACCACTGAGGAGCTGAAAGCTAAGTGATCACCATTTAACCTAAAATAACAAAGTTTTTACACACACATTAGAAACTTGAATAACAACATAAACACTTAATAGATGTAAATAATTAGCAATCACCTCATAAGACAGATTTCAATGAATTTAAGTACAAGGCTAGAAACAAAAAACATCACTTAACAGCAACAAAATATGCAAAAATTATTATAGAAGTAAACAGAAATTCAGTTTGGAATTCCCTGTAGAATACCCAAGTTGATATACACCTGAGGAAGGCCGAAGGGTACAATGGCTGAAACGTTGTGATAAAAACAACAAAGATAGTTCGAATAAAAATAGTGTAAGTAATGATAACTCATCATCCTAGAATAAAAATTAAACAGAAATACCATTAATAATATTTTTAGGTGAATCATTATCATTTGTTATCACAAAGTACTGACAAATTCTTTGAACATGAGAGAAAACAATTGGAAAAAGCAGTATCAATAGATACTACACAGTGATTCAAGACAGTGTTGCAAAGCTTGGCAAGTGCAAGGAAAGTAGGTAAGATATAAGTCAAAAAGCCTGATTTGCTAGGGGAACTGTAATGTTCACCCTGTACAAGATCCAGGGAATACAGGCTAGAGGGTTATTGTGACTGGAAAATCAAAATAAAAGCAATTAAGTTGGAGTAAACCTAATAATAAATTAACCACAGTGAAATGTGTTTAAAATTATCTTTTTAGTTTTGAATGTAGAATCCGTTTTAAAAAAAACAAACAAAAAAAACATTAGTTTGTTTTTTTTTAATCGCATTCACCTCAGGGTATGGTAGTAGAGCCACTAAAACACAAGTGGTTATTGGGTGTGGAAGAATTTATAAATGAACTAGCTTAATGTAGCCATAACCCACTTCCTGCTCCTTGTTTTCCAACCAACTTTAATTTGCAAAAATTTAGATGCAATCGCTATCTGTTATCCTCCTGATTGCTTTTTTCTTTTTCCTCATTACTAATGTTTCTTTTCCTAATTCCCCCACACTTTGGGTACTAGTGGCTTTGCTGCCTTGCTTGGGGGGATATTGATTAAAAAAAAAAAAAAATAACTTAACAGAGACTCAATTCTAAGTGAGAAGTTAGGCAGGGATACTCCAGATGAGTCAAGAGTAGAGTTTAAGGAGAATTTATGGGTGAAACGTTCAGCTTTATCAACAGATGTTAACACACCAAACTGAAAGAAGAGAGGAATAGAAAACTTACATTTATTTAATACACTATTACAGTGCTATCAGTAATCATGAGAGCCAAAGTTGTTAGATAAAGTATGATGCTTCATTCTCTCACCAAACAGAGACTTAGCTCTGTTTAAGTTTACATTTATTACATGCAACAACGAATAGGCATCTGCTGCGCGGGGAGTTGTCACACTGGTATAGCTTAAAATAGTGGTTCCTGTGGGCTATAGCAGTAGAGCATGCTATGAACCATGGAGAAGATTGAGGTTTCACCTGATATTTTCAAGAAAAAATGAAAGCATCCATGCCAGCTTTGACCCTCAATTTGAAGGTTAAAAATGTCAATCCAGGGAGCATCTTGAAAGTCACACAGTGAGTCCCAATCTGCATGCTGGTAGAGAGGTCTTATGAATAAGAGATTCTTGTTTAATAGATGACTGGAATTAAATATCAATCAATACTACACAGTGATTCAAGACAGTGTTGTAAAGCTTGGCAAGTGCAAGGAAAGGAGGTAAGAAATAAATCAAGAAGCCTAATTTGCTAGGGGAATTTCTTTTTTTTTTTTTTAACAGTAATGTTCACCCTGTACAAGACCCAGGGAATATGAGTTAGAGGTTAGAGGGTTATGTCATGGGGTAGTTTGTATGGACAAAGAGAGGAAGATAATGGTTAACTCTAGTTGAACAGGTTAAGATTGTAGTGACTGGGGAAACATCCTCTTGGGAGTCTATTCCACAGGACAGTAGTTTGTGGGGAGAAGCTGTTTGAGTTTAACTTACTTCTCACCGAGGAAATACAGAGGGAATGTGGGTGGTTTTCTACTATATAAGTTTCTGGGCGGGTGAAGGTTAGACTGGGCAGAATCAAAGAATGTAGTTCGTTTGAGCACTTTCCATGGTAGTAGCAATAGAGATGTGATTTGTCACATCCTGCCTGTGAGTGAGAGGTGGAAAATGATTCTTCAACAAGGACTCTGAGATGCTTTTGAATTCTACCAAGACTGGAAAGTGAGGACTGGGCCATCTCCACCCAAATATGGCAACAGCACTTATCTGCCTTGTATAAAAGTAGAGGACAGCATGAAGAGTCAGGTACTTGCTGGAGTGATACAGGGAGCTGATCATTTTACCTGCATCTTTAGCAATGGATCATATATAAGAGTTCCACGAAGTCAGGTCTGAGTATTCTATCAAGGCACAGAGCTTCCTTGAGGGGACATCTGTTCATTGTGATTGTTCAGAGTTTGATTGGCAGTGATGGAATGTAACCAGTTTGGTTTTCGAGGAATTGAATGTAATCAACCAGTTTTTTTTCCTCACTGGAAAGTCAGTATTTGATCGGAAGAGAGGTCAGCAGCCAATCTGATCATTAAGAGTTTTAGAGGTGTGTCTGTATATCATCGTATCATTGGCATAGATGTTTACAAATGATTAAAGTATATTCTTAGGCAGATCATTTATGTAAATCAGAAAGAGGGTTGACTGCCAGGGCGTTGGAAAACTGGTCATTAATAACTAGGGATCTACCTGTTAGGAAGGATTTTATGACAAAACCTATCCAGTGATTCCATAATTGGAGAGCTTGCATAGCAAACCTTTGTGCTACACCTTATCAAAGGCCTTTGAGATATCTAATGTTATGATCTACATGGTGTATGTGCCATCAGGGGTCTCATTAAGTCTGTGTGTAATGGTAGTTATAATGTCAGCAGTTGAACAGGCTGATCAAAATCCATACTGCTTGTTGCACAAGAGGTTGTACCTCTCTAGGTGATTGATGATCTCTTTGTTGATTAAAGGCTTAGAAAGTTTACATATTGCAAGGGGGAGGATTGCTCACCTGCATTCTTGAAGACCAAGAATATTCTAGCCTCCTTCCACATGGTAGGTAAAGATTTCTCCTTCAAGCAGCAGTTAAATAACTTTGCTAGGATCAGGGATAATTCTGGGTTGATATTCTTAAGGATGACCACTGGAATTTTGTCTGCACTAGTGGCTTTTTTGAGGTCAAGATTTTTGATAAATCTAGAGATTTCTCTTAATGAAATGAGTATATTATTGAGAGTGTGCTCAGTGAGATGAGTTGTTTTTCATTTTGGTTTGAGGAAAAGATTGAATATATATATACCCATACATACACTCACACACCTCAAAGCAAGGCTTAAGATAAATTTAAAGAAAAAAAAAATAAAAGTAAAAAATATGCGGATTACTTCATAATACATGGTAAGATAAAAGAGGAGTAGGGAAATCCACGATTTGGAAAATTTTAATGTCTGAATACTGGCAACATTAGAATGTTTAAGATATGTGTTGTGGTGCTCATTAAAATCACTGAAGATAAAGATGTTTGGAGATGGATGGAGAGAGAGAATCCCATTTCTATACTGTCAGAGAATATGTCTAATATACTGCAATCCTGAGAAGAGGGGGAGCAATAAAGGAAAAAGAGATAGCTAACAGAATGTAAATGAAAGTCGAAAGCACATGAAAGACTTATCTGGGGACTAGTGGTAATTCTCTTGGCATTGGAATATGATCCCAGATGTAAACACCAAGGCCATGCATGTGAATGTTAGAATCTTTATGGCAGCGGAGAAGATAGCCTGGAATAGAATTCATTGGCAGGAATGGAGGAATTTAAGTTGGCTTTGCAAAGATATCCTGCAACTGTTCCAAGAGAAAAGATTCTATACTGCTCAAGTTAGAGCAGATACCACGAACATTGGAGAAAGAAAGGTGGTTTTTTGTTTACTGGTTTTCTCGTAATTCTTTTCATTGTATTTGTCAAGAGATTTGTGTTGGGGAGAAAAGGAAAAGGTCATCATAATTATCAGTCGTCAATGGCAATACAAACTATTGTAAAATTGTAAAGAATAATAACCCAAAAATTTATTTCATGGTACTTTGACAAAAGTTTTTATAAAATTTTCCTTATTTAAGTTCACAGATGGCACATGATAAAACAATCTGCTTGTAGATTTTAATGCTTTCTTTCTAGATTCATTCTAGATCATTCAGTTAGGAAATAAATATTTATATTTGTACTTTTCAAGACACTTTTTACATCAAAGTTTTACTTTATAATTTAAAGATCTGACTGCTTAAACTACTTCACTGTTTTTTTCTTTTTTTATTTATTCACCGACATAAAATAAAAATTGTTCACTGTTACAAGAAAATTGCTGCTCCTATAGAAAATCATTTTGTTTATGTGGCAAATTATAAAGACAAAGTTATGAAGAGGTATTGAAATAGTTTTGTCCAACACATTCCCCAAAATGAGCAAATATCAGAATTGGGAATTTCTTCTTGGTTGGTACAAGAACTTTTCACCACTCCCTTGTATAATGTGCCCAACTTATTAATTTTAATCTATTTACTTATGTGACTATCATTTGCTTACCAGAACTGAAACATTGTTCTTTACACAGTTGACCAAGGATGAATACAGGCCATGGGAGGAACAAAATTATTATATCACTCCATATACACTTGCTCTTTCAACAAATGTTTGGTGGTCAAGTCTTGCAGCTTACTGTTACTATCTGCCATTAGGTCAATATCATCTGTGAAATGCAGGTTAAACACAGGACTACCACTGATAGAGATAGAAGTGTTGTGGTCATAGAGTGTTTGTTGCATAATTCTCTCCAGAAACAGGTGGAAGAGTGTTGAAGAGAGAGTAGGCATCTCCCAATTGGTTACTCAAGAGAACTGCACTGGTGCCATAGTCATGGAAGGCCCTTCTTCTATATTGAATCCTCTAAGAAGATGACAGAGACCATCATGCCATACCTGATCAAATGCATTCT